ATCGTGTCGCCGTCAAACATAGACAAGATAGATTGATCTACAAAGTGGCACGAAACGATGTGATGCTCTGCAGCTTGAATTGCGACAAAAACGACTGAAGATTTAGGTGTGGTTAGTTATAAGGCATACAACGGACACAGGGGATTGGGGGCAGTTTAGGGGTCTATGGCTGATGCCAAGGGTTTCACATGCTGCGCGTGGAACCTGCCGGAGCTCGCCATGCCCGGCAAATCCCAGCAAGCTCATGCTAACCTGCCAGCCCCAAGGAAAAGTCTTCAAGGTGCCCTTGCCTATGCTCCCAGACAATGCCAAAAAGGCCAGGGCCACGCGTGTCTCTGAGATCCTCATTTGAAGACGCATCTCTCGTCCCTCTCCAATGCGATGGACGTGGAGCTGATCGGCGCGATCAACATGGCTTTCCATGCATGCAGACGGGGCATGGCATGATTGTTATGCCTGGTGCCTGCATGTGGGCATGTTGAGATGGGAACCCCTGAAATCCCTGAAGTCTCGGCGACGCTTATGGACGCCAGTTGTGCAGCAACATTGCAGTGCGGCTTGATCTCTTTCGTATTCTCCTGGCCCATGCTGGCCCATGGCCTATGCTGGGTTGGTTTGTCTTTGGCCCACCCATCGTCACAGACCGCACGACGGGCTCCTTGCTCACTTGGCACCCAGCTTGCCCGTGTGGCTGCGCAGGCAGGGCCCTGAACCGCTGCGAGCTCACAAGATATATATCATCTCGCAGCTTCCTGCAGAGCCCGACCCTAAATGCCTAGATGCTTGTCTGTTTTTTCAGTTTTGATTGGTGTCCTGGGTTTGCTGTTGGGTTGGCTTCTTCGCCCGCAGCGCGGCCACAACCCAGAACAGGGTTTTTGTTTGTATATACACCGCAGCTAGCTTTGCAAGCGAGGATTCGTTAGGCATGACTTTGGTATGACGTCTGGTGTCCCAGGATGTTCAGACTGGCCTTGTTCATATAAACATTGGTTGCAAAGACATGCAATCTCCGAGCTGCAAAATCACAGGGGCAAGGCAGCCCCTGAAGCACGTCCTTGATTCTGCAAGACAGACTTGGGGGGTGTGGTTTTTTGCGTCGCGTCCTGCCCAGATTCTTGCCAGGAGGGGGCAGTGTTTGCTGCTAGTGGCGGCAGATGGCCTTGTTTTCAACTTTGAGAGCTGCCCTGGAAGGTTCCCTTGAACGAGAGGAGTGAAGGTGAATTCAGTTTGAATTACAGGCGCTGCTGCTCTGCACGGTGTTGTGCGGAGGTCCGGTAGGAGCCACGTTGCGAAGCTTTTTAGGAAACTGTAGGGGCTGGCTTGCAGGCGGTAATTCCGGGCGGACTACGGGCGGGTTTACGGGCGGAGTTTGCAGGCGGCGTTTATGGGCAGAGCCATCCTGCGAGAGGCATGCAGGGAGTGTGCCCAAGATCTGCTTCCAGGGCATCTTCCATATCACGCGGTCCCAAGTTGTCAGATGTCATAGTGTAAAGCGGCCAAAAACTGCAAAACGAAGATTTTCATGGAAAATTAGCGGCGCGCATGCTCTGCAGACACCTGTGAGCTGATAAATCTTGCTTCATCCGGGGTGTCCTTGCAGAAAGACCGTAGCTTAGGTTTTTGTGCTCCCGGCCCTGCGTCCGCGTGTGAAGACCTGTGCCGCGGTGTTTGATGCACATGGACAATGACACTCCATGTACCTCACCAGCCTTCCGCTCAGAGCTAGTGAAGACTCAGGACCTTTATATTTCCTAGCGCAAAAGCATGCTGAGAGCCGGCTTCCAGCTCTCAAAAGTGGTCTTCGTGCTCCCAAACTCCAGATGCTCTGGACCGGTGAGGCACTGCCACCCTGCCACAGCACAACTGCCACGGCACATATCCAGTCACCACTGAAGCTGGGCCCATGACTTGACTTGTGCTGGGTCCTCGAGAAAGCCACCGCAAGGCTATCGTAAGGCAGCCGCATCCGCAAGCCGCCCTTTGAGGTTTTTCAAGTTGTTAGTGGGAAGTTGCTTGCGTGGCTTACGTCCTTGGTTGCGCTAGGGTGCAGTGGGTTGTCTCGGCATAAAGGTCACTTTAGTCTGCAGCCCTCGTGCATGCACTGCCGGTTTGCATGGAGCCTTTGATTTCCATTGCGCTCCTCCGTAGTGCGCCACCGGAAGCAGCGCAGACGGCAGCATCGCGTGCCATCGCCCATCCCATAGAAATTGGTCCGTTCCATGTGAACGCCATGTTGATGAGGAGCTGGCTCATGTAAGGTTCAGTTCCAACGGCGTAAGGTGATGAGTCGGGACGACCGGGTCCCTGTTGGACAGTGGCAGCCTGGCATCCAGCTTTCCCAGGCGGTGCCCGTGTGGTGATGACTCTCAGATATTGAGCGCATCGCGCTCTGTGGCTCTGCCACAGTCTGGTGCGTGATACACAAGGACCCGAGTCCGGAGTTCGGCTAGGCAGCTGCGTCTCTGTGTACGGGTACAAAGGTTGTAGCAGGTCCAAGTCAAGCAGCACCCTACATCAGGCTGCGTTTTGGCAACTTGAGCATGACAGCGAAGGCAGGGACCTGAACGACTGCGAGCTCACAATATAATCTTGCCTCCCGGCAGGCAGGAGATGTGCCAGCTGTCATGATGGCACTGCTGCAGGATCCGCAGCGGCGTCCTTGCGGAATGGCAGTGTAGGTTTGTGTGCCCCCGGCCTTGCGTCCACGCGTGAAGACTCGTGCTGTGCCGTGGTGTTTGATGCACATGGACAATGACATGGAGTGTATCTTGCCAACCCGACTTTCCGCTCAATGAAGACTTGGGACTGTTCAAAGTCCTAGCGCGAGGTGTGCTGAGAATCTTCTTCCAAAGACTGGAGTCATGGTGACTCAGCTGACATGGTGACTTTGCTGCGTCCTCGAGAGATCACCGCAAGGCTACCGCATCCGCAAGCCGCCCTTTTGAGCTCAGAGGGAAGGCTTACTACGTGGCTTACGCCCTTGGTTACGAGGTCACTTGTGGCTCCGCAAAAATTAGATCTTCGGTGCCTAGCCTGCAACCCTCGCGTATGTACCGCCGGCTTGCCATTCGGCCTTTCAGGTGAGCGCGAGGATTCCAAGGACCAAGTCTTCCAGCCCGGCGTTTGCTCAGCCTTTGTGCAGTGACCTATGCTGCTGGTACTCATAGTATGATGTTGTTGTACTGACTGCTATGAAGTGTACGCGGAAGTGACAGAAATCTGCAAGCGCTGACTCTAGTCTACTCTGGCGACTGGAGCCGATACAGATTCGCCCGCGATGCTGCTCCATCAGGAGTGTCCACCATTGCCGCATACTGCCGCCGATGTGCGAAGGTCCAGAATCGCCGGGACAATGGGCATCTAGTTGTGAGCAGGGACGCCACTCCAGCTGAGCTGCCGCCTCTGATCCAATAGGCTGAGTCTCGACGATAGCGGGTCCTGAGCGGGGATCCATGTTCTGATGGGTCCTGAGAGATCCTTCATGATTGGCGGCCCGTTCTACAGTTGTTGCTTCGTTTTTGCTCGCAAGCCTGCCGTTCAAGGCGTTCAGACTTGCGCTGGGCACATCGAGCACGGCGGGAATCGCGGGAATCGCGGAAATCGCAGGCCGCTGCTTCGGAAGCCGCGTGCCATGCTTTGAGGCTTTGAGAAGGAAAGAGAGTGGTCCGAAGTTCAGATCGAAAGGCATCAGCGCACCTTGCTACAGGCTGGCGTCGGGGCTTGGGCGGCAGTGGCATCGCCTGACTTTTGGAGATTTTGGAGTGTTTTCAGCACTGGGTGCTGGGGGCTTCAAGAACCGGATCGTAGCGTGACAGTGCTCGCAGCAGGCATTTGGCCTGGTCTTCTGCCTCGACATCGGTGAGGCATTCCTGAGACCTTTGGTTCCACGTCGCCGTGGGGGCGCACTGAGAGGCCTGCAACCCTTTTTTCACCGAGTGGTTGTGGGTACGCTTCAATCTTGAATCTCAGGGTAAGGTGTTCGCAGCTGCAGGCTGTGTAACGCCCTCCGTATCAGCAACTTTGAAGAACTCCGTGGGGCATGCTTGAAGGTCAGATTTGTCTCCTGCCGCAGCATCCATATGCCTTGCTATAGTTTGAGCAAAAGAAGGGTTAGCGTTCAGCAACACTGGCGGAGTCGCAAGTTCAAGCAAGCAAAGTTCAACTCCGATCGCTTCTGCCCCCTCCGATGCAGTTGGCCAGTTCCTTCCTCGATTTCCGAGCCGGCCAGCACCTTTGTGTGCACCCAGGAAGTTTTTGAAGAGATAGCTCTCGCCTGCGCCGGCAGGGCGGAGTTCGTTTCAACAGAAGCTTGAAACTGCCAGCAAACACGAACAGACCATCAATGGCTGTCCCCAACCCACATTGCATCTGGTCGTGTGCCATGGCCATGTGCTGCAGGCAAACATTAAAGTTCATTAACCTCTTGTCGAACACTGGCAGGCCCGTGATGCACAAGGCAACACCCGTCTCCGCATGGGCTGGGCACAAGACTGAAGACAAGAGATGGGTACACGGGCTTCAGACCACCAAATGGTGCAGCCGCGGCAAGATGCGCATGCCTAAAACTAACATCAAGCCAGTTTGGAAGTCGCAGTGTGCCACTCGCTTCCATTTTCTGTGTGCAGCTTTGGGCGGCCAGAATGCTGACCCTACCACAAATCTGCCAGGATTCCTCACACCTACTGTTGATACTGAGCATTCCTGTACACGAGAAAACTTCAGTACAAACAAGCCCTGTCAGGCAGTGGGGGATTCTCTGCAGTGGCTGCGCAGTGGATGTTGTAGGCGGATGAGACTCTCTCTAAAAACTCGGAGGGCCCGCACGCGAGCAGCCCCGAGACCACGGCGCGGTAGACCTCAGGGTAGGCGTTCACCCTTGTCCCGCTTGTCCCTGGCAAGACTCGTGCTATGTTCGAGGGAAACTGCGCCTGGCACCTATGAGCCCTCGGCCGGGTTGAGAACCCGCTGTTGAGGTGCACCTTGCCCCCCATCCGTTGGAGATGTCGGGCATGTCGGGCATGTCGGGCATGTCGGGCATGTGTGAAATGCATGCCCAGGGCCGGGCACTGAGCATGGGGAAACGCCGCAGATCGCGAAGCTCGCTGTGCGGCTCGGCTCTATGCTTCAAGTGCCCGGGCCTCCAAGTTGATGGCACCCTCTTTGCGGATAAATTCTTGTCTCCTTTAATCCTTCATCGTCTCCTGCGTGCCTTCACCTGCCTTCACACGCCTTCACGTGAGCATTTCAGGGCCCATCTATGCCCAGCGTCTCTACCTGGGCTGCTGACCCTGGCGGCATGAAGGGGACGCAGCCGGTTCAGCGTCGTTGCGCATGTTCGGTCACCATGTGCCGCATCACCGACGTTGACGGCGCCTGGTACGCAGTTGCCACTCGCAGTTGCAAGCAGAGCATGCCTGCAGCCTGCAGTTGCAAGCAGGCCTTGTGCTCACTTCCCTTTCGTTGTGCATGGGTTAAGGTTGACCAGTGTGCGGGGCCCCTCCGTCTTGTAGGGCAAAAGTTTACTTAGCACTGGTCTGCTCACCTGCCTGGTTGGTGCTGGCCTCTGATAGGGATTCGGTAGACACGCCGATGCTTCAGATCTCTGCGGTGGCGGCCTGCGGCTGTCCATGCTTTGCTTGTCTTTGCTCGTGGATGCAGGGGTTATCTGTGACTGGCCTTCATTTGAGCACCCGGGCCCTGGGCTCTGATGAGCCCAGGGCGCCGGTGCAGTTCGGAAGACCCCGAATTTGCGAGGAAGCAGATCGCAACCAGCTCGCTTGCAAATCTGTGCTGGCGTGAGGGTCCAGACTACCATTGGAGCACTCTGTCCCCAGTGCGCAGCCGCAAAATGACATGCAGTTTCTCATAGTTGGGGCATCGGCTTGAGGTCCTAGGGTTTTGAGGCCCGGGCTTAGGGTTTGGGCCTCAGGCTGAGGGTTCAGGGCATGGGGTTTAGGCTCCGGGTTTGGGCCTTAGGGTTTAAGCACTATGGTTTGGGCTTAGGGCTTTGGGCAAGAGGGTCTACTGTGGTCCTTGGGTTTGGGGTTCTTGCCCTGGCCCTTTTCGTGCCCTGGCCCCCGATAAAGGGCGCGACCCAGCAGGCCTTTCGAACCTTTGCCGGTAGCAGTAGCAGTAGCAGTAGTAGTAGTAGCAGTGGCAGTCGCAGTCGCAGTAGCAGTCGCAGTGGCAGTCGCAGTAGCAGTAGCCGTCGCAGTCGCAGTAGCAGTAGCAGTAGTAGTTGTAAAGGACAGCACCACATGCCACACCTCGCGGTGGAGGGAGCTTGTAGTTGTAGTAGCAGTAGCAGTAGCAGTAGCAGTAGCAGTAGCAGTAGCAGTAGCAGTAGCAGTAGCAGTAGCAGTACTAGTAGTAGTAGTAGTAGTAGTAGTAGTAGTAGTAGTAGTAGTAGTAGTAGTAGTAGTAGTAGTAGTAGTAGTAGTAGTAGTAGTAGTAGTAGTAGTAGTAGTAGTAGTAGTAGTAGTAGTAGTAGTAGTAGTAGTAGGTGGTAGTAGTAGGGAGTAGTAGTAGTAGTAGTAGTAGTAGTAGTAGTAGTAGTAGTAGTAGTAGTAGTAGTAGTAGTAGTAGTAGTAGTAGCTGCTACTGCTACTGCTACTGGTACTGCGACTGCGACTGCGACTGCTACTGCTACTGCTACTGCTACTGCGACTGCGACTGCAACTGCGACTGCGACTGCGACTGCGACTGCGACTGCTACTGCTACTGCTACTGCTACTGCTACTACGACGACGACGGCGACGGCGGCGACGGCGACTGCGACTGCTACTGCTTTCGCTATCGCTACTGCTACTGCTGCTGCTACTGCTACTGCTACTGCTACTGCTACTGCTACTGCTACTGCTACTGCTACTGCTACTGCTACTGCTAGCTACTGCTACTGCTACTGCTACTGCTAAGGACAAACATAGACACCTTGCTCATGTTTCCTTCGGGTGAGGCCTTGCTGAAAGGCGAGCTCGGTCATGCACGTTACAAGAAAGGAGCCAAATGTTTCTGAATCAATCTTTCTGTGAAATGGAAGCTCAGAATCTACGACGCTGCTCATCCCCGTGCTCAGCTATGAACTGGAAACAGCGGCGCAGGTTGGAAACACTCCGTTCCAAAGCACTGTGCAAAATTTAGGCACAGCGGACACAGTCCGGCCACGGACGTCCCTGCAATTGTCAACCTCCACAGCATGTTCAGCAAGATGAGGACAAGCCTGCCCAAGTGCCGAGGCCCGGGAGCATTCCCAGCAAAAAGCATCAAGAGTACCGGCTGGTCTTTAGTGGCTACGAGAAGATCTCGAGAGGAGCAGCCTCTCAACTTGGGAGGTAGTCCCTTAGTGCGGTCAGCAGCTCAATCCCTCTTTTGATACCCCACACGAAGAATCCGTGTAGATGGCAGGAAAATTTCAAATCAGCAACCAGTGAGGCCCCCTTAAAGGGGCCCAACCGGATAATTAGGGTCCAAAGGGCTCCACTGTGGCAGTTCCAACGGGCCTTGCTCGGATTCTCGCGGTACGGCCTCAAATCCTCCTACTAAGTCCAAATTCGCCCTTCCATCGGGACTGGAGGCGACCAAGGACAAAAGGAGAAGAGGAAAAGAAAATGAAAACGGGGCTTGTTCGTCGACCTGAGGTTCCCGCGGCGTCCGTGGTGAGGTCCACGTCCTTGAAGCAGTCCGGTGGTTCGATGACTCTCGCCACCTTGGCACAAAAGGCGTATCCCTCCGTGAGCTCATCGTGTCATTGAGGCTCCTGGGCCACAGCCCAAACACTTGCCGTCTTGTCCCAGAATCTAGGTTTCGGACTGTCAGGCGAGAGGCGTGGTTCCTCCACCGGCGAGAAAGAGGAGTGGCTTGGTTTGGGCCGAGGTCGTAGAGTTTCTGGATACCTCACGTTGGAAGGCGATCTTGAGCTTGATCTTGTGGTCAACATCGCTATGGACCTTCAATTGCTACGGTGAGCACTTGCGCCCAGGCGCTAGGTGCACGTCGAGAAGTTGCAGTTGTCAGCTCAGAGCTTCCACATCGCATCCTTGTACAGCACTATGCACCGCTTCAAGGTGAAAAGCGCCACGCTAGCAATAAATGCTGCTCGCTATGGCGGTGCAAGAGATGCGCTAGCACATGTGGATTGGAAGAAAACACTATCCAAAAGGACTCTTTCCTGCGTCTATTGAATTCTAAAGTTGATAAGCTGGCGCGTTTTCGTTGAACTATCGACAGCATGTTCGAGTCTGCCCGCAGAGGTTGTAACCACGAAACAGGTCCGCGGCCGCGGCCCATAGCCGACGGTGGACGAAAGAAGGCAGAGATGCGAGAAACCGTGGCAGGCATGGAAGTTGCAGGACTTGGGCAAAAATTCGGGTGTGGGCTTAGCTGCAAATGTGTTCATGCAGGCAGTCCTTTTGTTTGTTTTGGTCGGCGAATTTAACTACGTGACTTGTGTGCTGATGTAATAAAGGCCATATTTTGCATTTCTCTTAAAGTTTGCTAAGTCCAGGGGCTAAGGAATGCTAAAAGAAAGTTTCCGCTTGGAGCATGGCCCTTCCTGTTTGTTTTTCGTTTCCATGTGGTGGGGAGTTGTCGCGTCCGGCGCGGCTGGAAGGGTCTACAAAACCCAGGCCGGATACTTATCGGCAAGCCGAAACACAGTTTATGCAACCAAGTGCGGTACTTGCATACATCCGGCGGCAATGGGCGTGACAAGATTAGCATGTTTGGGAACAAAGCCTGTGACTGTACTGACAATGAACATTTTGGGTTTGCAATCTGTAAAATTGATGTGTGCAGTTGAGTGGAATCGCGAGAAATAGAGCAGGTAAAGTGCATCGGTGTGGTGTGTTGGTGGTTCAGGGGTGTATGTGTTTTTGATGCCGTTCGCGTGCATGTAGCTTTTTTGGCTCAACCGAACCGACGAGGATGTGCGATTGCACACCATGCCCAGGCCACATGCTTGCCGAATTGGTTAGAAGTTAGAGCTCCATATCAGTGTGGTATGAAAGCCGGCGATGTTGAGCCTATGATCAGGTGGGGAGTTCTTGTCTTCTTGATCCAGTACTTCGCTGAGCCTCGGCATGTTTTTGGGCATGGCTTTTTTGGTGCAAAACTGTGCTTGCATCGTGATCATGGCTTCTTGAAAGTCCTAGAGCCCTGGCGTGAGGTTGCCAAGAATGATCTAGTCGCCGACGCATGCTGGAATGCAACAGATGAGAACTGCGAGGTTTAGCGAGAAATGCTGTGATATGTTGTAACATCGTCATGTTGAGATGGCGCCTTCAAAATTTGTGCTGCGTAGATTTGTGCTAAATTTGCTCAAGTTGCAGGCGGACCTTTCGAACGCGTTGCAAGTGCAGGCAAGGATGTGTGGCAATGTGAGTTGTTGCTTTACGCCCACCGACAAGGCGAGTCAACTAAGCACCCGAAACAAATTGAGCTCTGGCATCCAAGAATGCTGATCCGAATTTAGCGTTGTCACCTGTTCTTTCCGCATGGACACACAGTGACTTACGTAGTTTTGTCGTTTGGGCAAGGTCAGCCATCAAGATGCGTCAGACGATGATTGGTGGCACAGACGGCGGTCATCTCGTAGGTCATCTCGCAGGTCTCGTAGGTCCAGTTCGCACCGACGACGAAGAAGAAGACGGAGCACTAGAAGATTTTCGCCACCTCCATCCCCGCCACCGAGTCCGTCACCAACTCCACCACCGAGTCCGCCACCAACTCCACCACCAACTCCCCCTCCTCCTCCTCCTCCGCCACCCCCACCTCCTCCACCCCCGCCTCCGCCACCACCGCCACCCCCACCACCACCGCCACCACCGCCACCACCGCCACCCCCTCCGCCACCCCCACCACCACCATCACCACCGACATCGTAGCTTAGCTTCAAGCACTCATAAGGAATGGTGAATGGACCTTGTTGAGTTTGGTACGAGCAAATGCTGACAGCAGCGTTGACACGCTTAGGCATCCACCTGACGGGAGCCAGAATCACTGTCGACCGATAGATGCATCAGGGAGACCCATTGGCTTGCAGAAACGGCTGAGGAAGAACATCAAAGAAATGAATCTTGCCGTAAGTTTTCCCGTGCTGGGTAAATTGCTGCAAGCTGCGAGGCAGCACTGAGCCTTTGAGCTTTGCGTATTCCTGCATATCGAGGACGGACGAAGAGTTTCAAAAGTTTTCGGCGGCCCTGAACAAGCTCAAGAACAACTGGTCACTTTGTGATGATCCATCCAGATGTCCGGAACTCAAAGGTTGTGATTTTGTGAATCATGAAGCTAAGCAAAAGGCTTG